ACAGCGTTGTGCATTTTGCAAAATGATAAATTGAGCAATTAAAATTCTTCGCTCGTTCCAATTACCTGTATTGGTCCATCCAAAATAATAAACTTGTCATTGTGTAGTTAGATAGGACAAAGTCAACCATTTTGTCACTTGATACTCCTTCAATGAGTGGCGGAGCTCGGAATGGTAGACGAAAGTCGTTAAGACGGGTTCGGCCTGTAATATGAGTAGAAAGATTTTATACTAAGCTCTACTTGTGTGTAGAATTTAAAAATAAACTGGAGAATATATAAAGATTACAGAATGAGAACACATTTTACACAAAAGATGGAAAATAATTTGATTAGAAGCACCTTGACGAAGTATGCCGAACGCATTTCCTCGATGTCTCATAGTCACCTTAGTATCCGAGTACTCCACAGGACTCAAAAGCCCATAGTTGACGAAAAAGTGCTCAAATAATGAGGCACTCATTGGAGTATTCATTAGACGATTTGATACAACAGGTACGAGTTCTGCGTGAAACGAGGGACAGATTGCCTGAAAAATTCTGTTCTAATATGGAATATGCCAATTCAAGGTACAAATCTTACTTGTTCTATCCTTTCCTTCACAAAATGCATAATGACGGGAAGATAATTAGCAATGGCCTTATCCGCTGCAGCTAGTGTCAGCTCGACATTGTTGGCCGCTACCTGAAAGGATACCACACTACCCTCTGGAATATCCCCGAGTGATCTGTACTATTCAACCTTGCAGGTAACAAGATCCGTCTTTAAATGCCCATCGGAATTGACACCAGTCCAAAGCAGCAACTCGACATTTGTTCTGTAGCTTACAATGCATTTAACATGTACTTTCAAGGTCAAACCTCGGATTTAAGGAACCTGTCAAATGATAGCGGGGATGAACCAGTCAGCTCTCCACTAGGCGTATTTAATTGAAACGATGTCAACACGGTTACGTTGAGATTGGATCCCTGAAAGAGATGGGAGTTGGAATCTGCTATGACGCTTTTTTTAATAATGTGCGCTAATCAATTACACAGTTCACTATGATTTCACTGTTAAAGATTCCCTCTTCCCCAAATTTGAAAGTTGCAGGCGATGGGTTGGCTATGGAG